AGGGGGAGGGGGAGGAGGGCCGGGGTCCGTGGGGGGCGGGCAGCGGAGAGGGCGCGGGTGCTCCAGACAGATCGCGGGGTGCCCAAGGGGCCCCTTCCCTTCCAGGAACAGCGCCCCTCTCTTAAGATCAAGGCAACAGCAAGGCCAGCTTGTCCTCAATTCTCATACCGTCTCTGAAGGGTGAGCAGGGGAAGGTATCGGCTCTCCGCTTCCCACGTGGAGAAACTGAGGCGCAGAGAGATTAGGGGACTTTCGGCTGGACACAGATTTTAAGAGATGAAGCCAGATGGAAGCCTGAGTCTCCTGAGCTCCCAGTCCACGGTTCTTCCGTTGGCTGGCTCTGCTCTGGTTCCTCGGACCACTCTGGCCAGTGTCTGGTGGGGACAGGAATTCTTCCTTCACCCTTTACCCAAGACTAGCTTTGCCTCCTTCCAGCCCAGCTGCCTTGCCATTCCCAAGCCACCCGGCCTGCTCCTGAACCATGGTGCCACCCCACATACTCTAAGGTTAGTGAAGATCTGGGCCAAGCATAAATCAGTAGAATTAAATCATGAAACACATAGAAATGTGCCTTGAAAAAAATGATTTGTTCCCAGTAAACTATCCAACTTTTCTTGTCCTCTCTTACTGGAAATGATGGGGAGCTGACCCTACTACTATGGAATTTTAGACTCTGCTGCTTGGAAATGACCTTTAAGGAAATCTGGTCTAAATACCGCACCTGAGCAGGCACAGCAGTACATCACCACCAGCTGCTCATCTGGCCATAACCCGCACACCTCTCAAAACCCTAAGCTCATTCTTTCCTCTTTGCCCAACTCTGGTGATTAGAAAGTTCTTGCTTCTCTTTAGCTGAAATCCGTCAGTCTCCTTAAGGACCCAGTTGTCCCTCTTAGGGCCACATGGAGCAAATCCAATCTTCCTTTCTTTTCACAATCCAGCCTACATTAGGAGGCAGACTTCTCTCTTCTTGACCCAGGGGTCCCAGTTCCTTCAACCATTCCTCAGAAGTCACGCCTGTGAGCTCCTTTCTCAGCCTCCAGGCATTCTCCTGTCTGGTCCTGCCCTTCAGAGCTCAGCACCAACATGTGTTCTTACCAGGTGTCAAGGGCCTTCCCTGCGTCATCTCATTTACTGCTGACGACACCCCCAGGAGGTGATGCCATCATTATCCCCATTTTGCAGATGAGGACGCTGGAAAGTGAAAGAACTTGCCAACAGTTACAGAGCAGGTGGCAGAGCAGTCTCTGCTCCTCTCTGCTGCCCTTGCAGCTCCAGCAGAGACAAGAGCACTGGACTTGGGGGCGGAACATCTGGCTTTGTGTCCCACTCTCCCACTTATTATTGTGTGCCCCAGGCAAGCCGCTCATCTGGTTCTCCTGTCTGTAAAATGGGAGGCATTATAGTGTCCACCTGGCTAGGTTCTTACGGAGATTAAAACAGATTTCGAGATGGGACCCTAGGCCTGATACTCCCCATTAGCTCCCCCGCCCCCTCCAGGAGTCCAATGCAAGGACTCACAGGGACTGCAGCAAGCCAGGGGCTTCATGTCATATCCTAGGCTCTGGAGCCCTCTCCAGGAGGGAGCCAGGTTCAAATCTCCAGGACCCCTACCCGACCTGGAGTCACTCTCTAAAATGATTTGTCAAGTGACAAGCAAAAATATATTACCAATTTAAGAGTGTGATCTGCCTGCAACTTTTTAATCCTCGGGCTGTTGTTGAATAGATTAAAGTGTCTGCTTTGATCCATGCATTTAGATGGAAACATAAATATAGCCATCACTTATTCTCTCAGCCGCCAGGATGGGTGTCACGCTGCATCACGCCGGCTTCCGACCCAGCCAGGGTAATGCATGAGAATGACCTTTTTGCCATTCAAATCCCTCTTGACTTTTCTTTCTCCTGCCGGAGCCCGAGCTGCCGCTGCTGCCTAACGAGACCACAGCTCACGCTGGGAAAGTCACTCAAGGGAAAGGGTAGAGCAGCGGCCGACCGGGCGCCCGATGCCGAGAACCTCCCCAGCTCGTCAGAGCCTTGCAAGAATAAATCTCCCGAGAAATAGATTTTGAAGAGGAATTTGGTACATAGATCTTCTGTCAGCGGAGCAGACTCTGGCTCAGCCGTTTTTCAGGCTCGCTGCTTATCCAGAAATACATCTATTTTTACACGGATCTCTGGCGAGATTTCCTCTCCTCTCACAGGGTGGGGAGGTCCCGCAGGGAGCCGGAGGGCTTACCGCAAGGGCGTGGGGTCGGGTGGGAGGGAGGGGGTGGCCTCTAGGGCCGGGCAGGCTCAGAGTCTGGCCCGGGGACCCTGCGGCGGAGGGAAGCGGTACCGAGCTTTGGGCTCCCCGGCCATCCTCCATCTCTCTGCAGGCATCCTGCCCCGGCCCTTCTGTTCTGAATACGGGCCTGGCCTCCTGGAGTCTCCGTCTCCGCACCGGCCCCTCTGCGCCCCCTCCGCCCATCCACAGCCCGGACTACCTCTGTGACACCCCGCCACCCCGAACTCTGAAGTCCGCTGAGCTGTGGACATCCCCCGCACACAAGTCTGCGCAGGCGCGCACAGACACGCACACATCGTGGGGGGGGCCCCATCGGGAGCCCACAAAGATGGGCTGTGTCCGCCCGCCGCTGCCAGTTTATCCCGCGCCTGCTTGCTGGCGCCAGGACACTGCGAACAGTGGGAGCCGGCTCTGAGCAGCCCCGCAGCACCAGCGGGGGAAATGGCTGGCGGGGGCTCTGAGCAGTGCGCTGTGGCAGGCAATTAGGCCTCAAACAATGGCCCGCGAAATGTCAGAAGCGGCGGGGAGGCTGGTATTCACAGGGGCCTTGGGCATGTGGAGGGCCCTGGGGTTGACCACGTGATGATGGAGCCAAAAGCCAGGGGGACAATGCTCTCCTGTAGGACCCATAGGACCCTTCGGCAGGGGAAACACCCTTATGTCTCCTTTCCCCAAACCCCTCTGAATAAACTAACTCCTTTCACCCCAGAAGCTTTTGTGCTGTGGAGAACGGGGCCCCTTCTCAGAGGAGAGAAAATAGTTCCAAAGTAGAAATGACTCCTACATCTGCTGCCTTACTTGGTTCTGTCCTCTGTATCCGCCCCCGATAGGCCAGGCCTCTGCCCTCAAATGCTGTTCTAAGAGGCCCATGGTCCATGCCCAGTCAGTCCCACCTGAAGGCCCTGCCTCTCCCCTTTCCAGGCCCTCACTCTGGACTCCAGCCTCTGCCACTGTGGAGGCCTTGTTTCTGAATCATACCCCTCCCTCTCCTTCCAGCAGTGCCAGTCTCTTCCTCTGCTCTGCTTTCAGTCCACCCTGGCCTTGCCCCGACCCTCCCCACATGCTGACACATAGTGCCTGGGGACCCCACTGAGCCTGGTATGTGTTCCCACTCTCCACCTCCACACCACTTCGTCTCTCCTCGACCCCTGTACTCAGAAATACCTGGTCCTGTCTAACACCCCTGGCCATCCCATCACCAACTCGCGGCCTTTGTCCCACTCTCCTGCCACACCTCTGCCCTCCCCAACCCTGAGTGCCAGTGCTGCCTGGCCTCACAGATGGGAGCTCTCGTAGCTCCCCGCCTTCCTTTCCAGCTGCCCGGCGGTGCCTGCTCTTTCACTCTCTCGAGCTCTTCTTCCCCCTCCAATCTCTTCTTGGGTCATCCCTCCAGGTTCCAGCACAGTTTCCTCTCTACCCTGTCTCCCTTGGACACAACAATCTACCCCCGCACTCCCCAAGCCTTCAACCACTGCTGTCATGTGACTAGCTCACAGATTAGTATCACCTGGTCTGATATTTCTGGTGAGTGTTCTCAGCTGCTCATAAGACAGATTCAGGTTGGCAGGTGCTGTCACTCCTAAGTCACCCTACCTGAAACAAATGCATCATCTGCTCTCCATATCCGGGGCCTCCTCCTAGAGTGGCCGATGAGTCACCATCTTTCTCCTGTTTCCTAGGCTAGGTCCAAGGATAACTCCTCCTTTCCCCTTCACTCAGCCCACAACCCACACACCTGCAACCAGTCATAGAGCATCCTCTGGTTTCCTTTGAAAAGATGTGTCACTGGCCCATCCTTTCCATTCTCACTACACCCAGGTTTCAGCCTTCATTTCCATTCACTGGGACTATTGCAGGAATCTCCTAACCTGTCCTGCCCCAAGGGGGAGGTAGAGTAATGCCGCTCCTGAAAAATGTGTCAGTATCTGTCCTGCCTTGACACCTTCCCAACTCACTGGCAGGACCCACATCTGTCTTTCTCTTCCACCCCACACGGTGCCTACCACAGTTCTGGGTATAGAGTAGGAGTCAACAGAAACCTGTTGAGCTATAAATAAGATGGAAATGTTTCAAGCCATTGTCCTGCTGAGCAGTAGATCCCAGATGTGAGGATCTGAGGGACTGTCCTGCCTGGACCTAGACTAGCTGCCTGGGACCAGGAGAGAAGAACACAAGCCCTCAGGCCAGGAGGCCCCTCTGCGCGCGGTAAGGTGGTAAGGGGACAGGAGCAATTCCAAACCACAGGCAGGCCAGAAATGATGCAGTGTCAGGAGCAGGTGAGCCAAGAAGAGGCCCCCAGGTCAGACCAGGGAGGCCCAGAGCACTGACTAGAGGGAAGCAGGAGGAAATGTTCCAGCTAGGCTCAGGGATCAGAACAGGTCATCCAGGGCCTGCACACTAGCCACCACCTACCTACCTCGCAGTGCAAGGGGACAGTGTGGACTGTCACCAAGTGCTGGTCCGATACCGTGAAGACTAGGGAAAGGCTGAGGAGGGAGGGAAAGGAGAAAAGACGAGATTAAGAAGTCAGGGGTGGGGGGTGGAGCTCAGTGGCAGAACA